ATACTAAATAGACTAAATATAATACTATGGATGATAATAATTATTATTGTGACGACGATACTAAATAGACTAAATATAATACTATGGATGATAATAATTATTATTGTGACGACGCCCCGATAACAAATACAATGTAATCTAAATATAGTTGGGTTTTTTTTAAGCAATTACGAGTCGGTCGGCAATCTAAGATTAAACCACTTCTCAACATTAACATCTATTTTATAATGCTACTATATTTCAATATACAAGTATAAATATAAAATATTTGATATTTTGTGTTTATACATATATGTATATGTATAATGAATGTTATATCGTCGTAATATTAATTTTAAATATTGGCTATTTTTGCAGTTTTAATAAAGGACCTTAAAAAATCAATGGGGGGGGGTTTGAACACCCAAACCCCCCCCCATGTGTACGCCACTGGGGCGGCTGAATATGAGATAGCGGCTAATTTTTTATATTTTCAATATTTGATGATCTAATATTTTTGAAGTGAAACTTCTTTACAAAATAAAAATTGTGTCTCAAAAAAAAAAAAATATTTATCGCCAATCACGGCGTCACGACACACACACACATACTCGGTAACGGTCGAGTACTGTCGATAGATCCAAACAGTGGCGTGCCGAATATAGGTATAAATGAAGCCCAGGCATCAAATTAAAAAAGGGTGGGTGGTTGTAGGATAATAATTTGTAAATCACATAATTATCGTATATATTCAGGTAGAGAAATATTGATATATGAATTCTGAATAAGATGAATTTAAATATGGGTGGATAGGTGGTAATCTAGACTTTGTAATTGGCATCAAAAAAATTTTTATCTCGGCACGCCACTGGATCTAAAGATTTACAAACAATCTATCCTTATGTTGACATTACACTTAGAATGTTTTTGTGTACACCAGCAACGAATTGTTCTTCAGAAAGATCTTTTTCAACCCGCAGAAATTTGTATTTAGTATAAAATATAATAGCGTTGGTATATAATAGCGTTTTTTATTGTTGCCCCATAGTATCAAATTACTAAATACGGCCCTCGGAGGTGAATAAATATATTTGCCTATAATAATTTACGTACCTAGTAGCATGTACGACAAGGCATAACTTATGTGAAATTAAAAATGCTGAATTAATTATATAATTTGTAAAGTCTTTATGGGAGGAGAGTGATAAGTTTATTTTCTACTGTACAAAAATGTTTGCATGCCCTTAGTAAATAAACTACCAAGGTTAGACTTTAAGGCCCTTGTCACACTAGGGCGACACGACGCGACGCGATTATAAATAAATATCGTGCGATAATCGTTTGTTTTATAAAACATGGGTTAATATATTGGAGACCTCCCACCCACGCGATGCGACACGAAATCAACTAATCGTGAGCAATTGGTGCTGTCAGTCGCTTGATAAAAGTTTCCTAGTCAACCACATGACTTCAATAACATAATAAATAAATATATTATTTTAATAATATTAAAACTGTACTATATTTTACTTTATTTACTTTATTACTTATTATACTTGACTAGTAGGTATAATTACATAATTAATTATATCATTTGGCAAATATCACTATAGCGGCAACAAAAATTCGACAGTTAATATTATTTTGTATGAATGGATGTATCCAATATTTCCTTTTCTTTTTTCGGTGTCAATACCAATATGACACAATACAATATTCGTCATCTTCAGAAGACGACATGATTGCTACTAACTACTGAGCAACTCTAGTTGCCAAAACATCGCCTATAGTGTGCAGAACTCTTGACGTCAGGTCGTATGATATTTTACTTGACAACTATTTTCTTAAATCGCATCAACGTCGCGTCGCCCAATTGGGAGGAGGGTCTAAGAGTATATTTTTTAATCGGTCTAACACCTAGGTTTTCCTAACTTTCCTAACTTTAGAAAGTTGATATGTCTCTACTGATTTTTGTATTCAAAATTGTATAAATTTATTTATTTTTATTTAAATTTATTAAAATAAAATAATTATGGTTAAAGTCTACATTTTTTTTTCAAATACGTCAATAATTCTTATGGCAAACATCCTTTCGAAAAATAGTATGACATATAGCTGTCATAGACATGCGTTATAGACGTAATATTTTATCATAGTGTTATTACTGGTTTATAGTCATTTTTATAAATTGAATATTATTTTTTTTAATATAATATTAATTATTATTGTTGTTACAACATATTATTTTATAACATTTTTAAAAAGAAGGAAAAATATTTCATATTTTTATATCAATTTTTTAAATTATAATATAATTGATTTTGCTGTTTTTGTTTTTTTTTCATCCAGATATCTAGTTAGGTAGGTACGTGTAATATAATGATTTTCAGAATTAATTTAAACTTAATTACTTTTTTGGATGGTTTAAATGATGAAATTACAAATTTATTTTTTGATTTCCAACTAGGATCTGTTTAGCATAATTAGAGAAGTTTATTTTACAGCCTTTTATGCTCTGTTTATATTTTAATTTACCTATATCCAGTAACGTACGCATGATTTTAGTCGGGTTGGGATTTCACTATAGGTTGATCAGAAACTTATCAATATAAACAACAGTTTAAACACAAAATAATTCTTTCATATTCATACTAGTTTTTTTATATTGTCTTAACTCTTAAAATATAATTTTTTTTGTTAATAACATATTATATACCTAGTGTAAATACAATAATAATATAACTAATCGATATTCATACAGTTTTAATAGTAATAATTTTATGTTTTATTTATACTTTTTATATTTAATTTATTATAAATTATAGATTTAGTCTTAAATTATTTAATTATTAATTATTATTATTAATTAATTAATCAACAATTTGAATTTTTAACTAAGTCTTTTAGAACGTCATCAGGTAGTACATTTACATGTGTATGGATGTTAAGTAATATTTCGGGGAGGGGGATGTTAAAACCATAGAACCCTATCATTGCGTACGCCACTGCCTATATCGTCTATATCTATAATAGAAATAGTTATTTAGATGTGTATTATTTACTATTACTCATTAAGTAAATTATAAAAATGAAGAATAAGAAAATCTAAAATATGGGTTGCACCTTTAGAGAAATAAGTAACATATTTTATTTAAAGTTATGTTTTTCTCGATTTCCCACGATAAAAATATTAATTTAAATTCAAATGATTGTCTAATTTATTTTCCAAAATAATATTCCTTGTGTTCAAGTTATGAAATGCATAAATTATATTTTAAGAGAATAATTTACATTTTTAGAACTAATAGTTAAAAATATAATTATACAATGGCATAAAAGAGAAAACATTTCAACCAGACAAATATTGAAAATAAAAAAATTTAATTAACATTTCCTTTTACATCTTGGTTGTGTACTTAGTTTTATTTATTAGGGTAAAATGTATAATGCATTATTCTTGTTAACAATTCTTAGCTGTACTGTTTAGTTTGTTATATTAATATTCTAGTTAAAAATGGTTTTAGAGTTTTCAATGTTTTTATTATACATTAATTAATTACAAGTTTCTTAAATAATATATTTATGAAAATATTTTATCATTTTTAAAATATTTTAAAATATTATACATTTTATTTTTTGTATGATTTCGAAAGAAAAATACATAAATATGATTGAAATTCTTGCAATTCTCATTCGATAGTTTACCTTTTAAAATATAAATAATTGTAAAGTTATAGGTGATTGATTACTAAAGAAACTAATTCATAATGACGTATATTTTTTAATGTTATAACATACTTTTATGTTTCATAATAATATAGTTTGTTATATTTGTAATAAATAAATGAAAATGATTAAGACATGTTTGTTATAAATATATTTATGTAAATATAGTTATATAGTACCGTATGTATGTATTGAAATTAGTGAATTTTAAAATTAAATCGTAGAATTGGTTGGTTTATACACTGTGTATTTATAATTTACCATGATTTATGTTGAAATAATAATAGCAAATTAATTTACAGTTTAAAAGGATAAATAATAATCGAAATTGATTCATCAGCTATACTAGTGTTAGTAGTACACGTTAGAATAAGATTATAACTATCAATAATTTTTTTCATCATAAATATTACATTTAGTTGTTGACAAAATATATGATAAACACTTACGTCTTGCTTATATATAATTATGTTTACTATTTTTTTTAGTGCTCGTAAATACATTGTCTAATAAAAAAAACTGTATGTTATAAAAAATGAAAAAAAAGAATTATCATCATACAAAAGTATGAATTCCATAATATAACGAATAAAATAAACATATACACGCTAACGGCTGTTTAGGTATAGGTAACGCGCCATGCGATGTACTAATAAAACAAAAGTAGGTAAGTACGATACTCCATATTTTAGTTGGATACAATTTTAAAATGAAAATGATTAAAAATAATAGAACTATTAAATGTGTTTCGTTTTTAAACTGTTATATATAAAATAATACTTAAGATGAATAAAAATGGTAGTGTTGGGTGTATTTTGCATGATTCTATAAACATTGAATCCGTGTACCTGTATAGTTATTTAGACCGTGTACCCGTGTATTTTCTTCGGTCCTTGTACCCATGAGATTGCCTAAATATTTGTAAATATATGTACGTATATATATATATGTATAAAAGCCAATGCACTCACTCATCGCTGTATATTAAAAACTACAGAACTTACAAATTTGAAATTTCGAATAGTGGTTCCTTTAAAGGCAGGTTCCCACGGTGCATAGTTCACCGAGCCACGAGTCAAATATGCTGGTTTAGTACACTACACGCTCCGTGGAAACGCTCTTGCTCGTCTAGGCGAATTATAACTTGGCAAGGCTTGTGGCTATTCAACAATTGTCGTGTCCGCGCCAAAGGAAACACGTTGCGCATTTAAACAGCGTTCTCACAGACACGCGATTCGGTCAGTCTGTACTGTATAGTGGATTTTTATTTTATGGCATG